GTATAAGGAGCTGTAGTTATATTGCACTGTGTGTGTATAAGGAGCTGTAGTTATATTGCTGTGCTATTGTATAAGGAGCTGTAGTGCACTGTGTGTGTATAAGAAGCTGTAATTATATTGCAATGTGTGTGTATAGGGAGCTGTAGTTATATCGCACTGTGTGTGTATAAGGAGCTGTAGTTATATTGCAATGTGTGTGTATAAGGAGCTGTAATTATATTGCGCTGTGTGTGTATAAGGAGCTGTAATTATATTGCAATGTGTGTGTATAAGGAGCTGTAGTTATATTGCACTGTGTGTGTATAAGGAGCTGTAGTTATATCGCACTGTGTGTGTATAAGGAGCTGTAGTTATATTGCGCTGTGTGTGTATAAGGAGCTGTAGTTATATTGCGCTGTGTGTGTATAAGGAGCTGTAGTTATATTGCACTGTGTGTGTATAAGGAGCTGTAGTTATATTGCACTGTGTGTGTATAAGGAGCTGTAGTGCACTGTGTGTGTATAAGAAGCTGTAATTATATTGCAATGTGTGTGTATAGGGAGCTGTAGTTATATCGCGCTGTGTGTGTATAAGGAGCTGTAGTTATATCGCACTGTGTGTGTATAAGGAGCTGTAGTTATATTGCACTGTGTGTGTATAAGGAGCTGTAGTTATATTGCACTGTGTGTGTGTGTAAGGAGCTGTAGTTATAGTGCACTGTGTGTGTATAAGGAGCTGTAGTTATATTGCACTGTGTGTATAAGGAGCTGTAGTTATATTGCACTGTGTGTGTATAAGGAGCTGTAGTTATATTGCTCTGTGTGTGTATAAGGAGCTGTAGTTATATTGCTCTGTGTGTGTATAAGGAGCTGTAGTTATATTGCACTGTGTGTGTATAAGGAGCTGTAGTTATATTGCACTGTGTGTGTATAAGAAGCTGTAGTTATATTGCGCTGTGTGTGTGTATAAGGAGCTGTAGTTATATTGCACTGTGTGTATAAGGAGCTGTAGTTATATTGCACTGTGTGTGTATAAGAAGCTGTAGTTATATTGCACTGTGTGTGTATAAGGAGCTGTAGTTATATTGCACTGTGTGTGTATAAGAAGCTGTAGTTATATTGCGCTGTGTGTGTGTATAAGGAGCTGTAGTTATATTGCACTGTGTGTGTATAAGGAGATGTAGTTATATCGCACTGTGTGTGTATAAGGAGCTGTAATTATATTGCACTGTGTGTATAAGGAGCTGTAGTTATATTGCACTGTGTGTGTATAAGGAGATGTAGTTATATCGCACTGTGTGTGTATAAGGAGCTGTAGTTATATTGCACTGTGTGTGTATAAGGAGCTGTAATTATATTGCACTGTGTGTGTATAAGGAGCTACAATTATATATTGCAATGTATTGTGTATAGGAGCTGTAGTTATATTGCACTGTGTGTGTATAAGGAGCTGTAGTTATATCGCACTGTGTATGTATAAGGAGCTGTAGTTATATTGCACTGTGTGTGTATAAGGAGCTGTAGTTATATCGCACTGTGTGTGTATAAGGAGCTGTAGTTATATTGCACTGTGTGTGTGTATAAGGAGCTGTAGTTATATTGCACTGTGTGTGTATAAGGAGCTGTAGTTATATTGCACTGTGTGTGTATAAGGAGCTGTAGTTATATTGCACTGTGTGTGTATAAGGAGCTGTAGTTATATCGCACTGTGTGTATAAGGAGCTGTAGTTATATTGCGCTGTGTGTGTATAAGGAGCTGTAGTTATATCGCACTGTGTGTGTATAAGGAGCTGTAGTTATATCGCACTGTGTGTGTATAAGAGCTGTAGTTATATCGCACTGTGTATGTATAAGGAGCTGTAGTTATATTGCACTGTGTGTGTATAAGAAGCTGTAGTTATATTGCACTGTGTGTGTATAAGGAGATGTAGTTATATCGCACTGTGTGTGTATAAGGAGCTGTAGTTATATTGCATTGTGTGTGTATAAGGAGCTGTAGTTATATTGCACTGTGTGTGTATAAGGAGATGTAGTTATATTGCGCTGTGTGTGTATAAGGAGCTGTAGTTATATTGCACTGTGTGTGTATAAGGAGCTGTAGTTATATCGCGCTGTGTGTGTATAAGGAGCTGTAGTTATATCGCACTGTGTGTGTATAAGGAGCTGTAGTTATATCGCACTGTGTGTGTATAAGGAGCTGTAGTTATATTGCACTGTGTGTGTATAAGGAGCTGTAGTTATATTGCACTGTGTGTGTATAAGGAGCTGTAGTTATATTGCACTGTGTGTGTATAAGGAGCTGTAGTTATATTGCACTGTGTGTGTATAAGGAGCTGTAGTTATATTGCACTGTGTGTGTATAAGGAGCTGTAGTTATATTGCACTGTGTGTGTATAAGGAGCTGTAGTTATATTGCGCTGTGTGTGTATAAGGAGCTGTAGTTATATTGCAATGTGTGTATAAGGAGCTGTAGTTATATTACACTGTGTGTGTATAAGGAGCTGTAGTTATATTGCACTGTGTGTGTATAAGGAGCTGTAGTTATATTGCACTGTGTGTGTATAAGGAGCTGTAGTTATATTGCACTGTATGTGTATAAGGAGCTGTAGTTATATTGCACTGTGTGTGTGTATAAGGAGCTGTAGTTATATTGCACTGTGTGTGTGTAAAGAGCTGTAGTTATATTGCACTGTGTGTATATAAGGAGCTGTAGTTATATTGCACTTTGTGTGTATAAGGAGCTGTAGTTATATTGCACTGTGTGTGTATAAGGAGCTGTAGTTATATTGCACTGTGTGTATAAGGAGCTGTAGTTATATTGCACTGTGTGTATAAGGAGCTGTAGTTATATTGCACTGTGTGTGTATTAGTTATTGCACTGTGTGTGTATAAGGAGCTGCGCTGTGTGTGTATAAGGAGCTGTAGTTATATTGCACTGTGTGTATAAGGAGCTGTAGTTATATTGCAATGTGTGTGTATGCTGTAGTTATATTGCACTGTGTGTGTATAAGGAGCTGTAGTTATATTGCACTGTGTGTGTATAAGGAGCTGTAGTTATATTGCACTGTGTGTGTATAAGGAGCTGTAGTTATATTGCACTGTGTGTGTATAAGGAGCTGTAGTTATATTGCACTGTGTGTGTATAAGGAGCTGTAGTTATATTGCACTGTGTGTGTATAAGGAGCTGTAGTTATATTGCACTGTGTGTGTATAAGGAGCTGTAGTTATATTGCACTGTGTGTGTATAAGGAGCTGTAGTTATATTGCACTGTGTGTGTATAAGGAGCTGTAGTTATATTGCACTGTGTGTGTATAAGGAGCTGTAGTTATATTGCACTGTGTGTGTATAAGGAGCTGTAGTTATATCGCACTGTGTGTGTATAAGGAGCTGTAGTTATATCGCACTGTGTGTGTATAAGGAGCTGTAGTTATATTGCACTGTATGTGTATAAGGAGCTGTAGTTATATTGCACTGTGTGTGTATAAGGAGCTGTAGTTATATTGCACTGTGTGTATATAAGGAGCTGTAGTTATATTTACTGTGTGTGTGTGTAAGGAGCTGTAGTTATATTGCACTGTGTGTGTATAAGGAGCTGTAGTTATATTGCACTGTGTGTGTATACGGAGCTGTAGTTATATTGCACTGTGTGTGTATAAGGAGCTGTAGTTATATAGCACTGTGTGTGTATAAGGAGCTGTAGTTATATTGCACTGTGTGTATAAGGAGCTGTGGTTATATTGCAGTGTATGTGTATAAGGAGCTGTAGTTATATTGCTGTGTGTGTGTATAAGGAGCTGTAGTTATATTGCACTGTGTTTGTGTGTAAGGAGCTGTAGTTATATTGCACTGTGTGTGTGTGTGTATAAGGAGCTGTAGTTATATTGCACTGTGTGTGTATAAGGAGCTGTAGTTATATTTCACTGTGTGTGTATAAGGAGCTGTAGTTATATTGCACTGTGTGTGTGTATAAGGAGCTGTAGTTATATTGCACTGTGTGTGTATAAGGAGCTGTAGTTATATTGCACTGTGTGTGTATAAGGAGCTGTAGTTATATTGCACTGTGTGTGTATAAGGAGCTGTAGTTATATTTCACTGTGTGTGTATAAGGAGCTGTAGTTATATCGCACTGTGTGTGTATAAATTCTGGGAAGAAGGAGCCATGGCCAACAGACCTGACATCGTGGGATAGACAAAAAACAGAAGACTGTAGTCGTGGTGGATGTGGCAATACCCAGTGACTATAATATCAAGAAAAAGGAACACAAGTAGGTGGAGAAACAGCAAGGACTGAAGAGCTAGCAAATGATGTGGAAAGTGAAGGCAGTCCCAGTTGTGATAGGAGCACTCAGGGCTGTGACCCCCAAGTTGTGGGAGTGGTTCAATAGATTCCAGGTGAGACATCTGAAATCGCTGTCCAGGAGAGTGCGCTACTAGGCACAGCTAAGATACTGCGCAGAAAACTCACACTCCCAGACCTCTGGTAGAGGACCCTAGAATGAGGTGGCTTACGAGTAAATAAGTGATCATCAGACATAATGTAGAGGTAAGTTGACTGCAACCTGTTACTCGTTTTCCTGGCACTATAGTTTTAATAGGTCCCCCGCTCTCACATGGCCCCCCTCCCGCCGGGCTGAAGGGGTTAAACACTCACCTTTCTCCAGCGCCGGGCTCCCTCAGCGCTGGGGACTCTCCTCCTCCTTTGGACGTCATCGGCTGAATGCGCATGCCTGACAAGAGCCCTGCGCGCAGTTAGTCCATAGGAAAGCATTTCTCAATGCTTTCCTATGGACGCTGGCATCTTCTCACTGTGAAAATCACAGTGAGAAGCGCCTCTAGCGGCTGTCAATGAGACAGCCACTAAAGGCTGGGTTCTTTGAAACTGCTATGTTTACAGCAGAAAGGGTTAATCCTAGATGGACCTGGCACCCAGACCACTTCATTGAGCTGAAGTGCCTATAGTGGTCCTTAAAGGAAAAGTCATTACTCAAGAGAGCATACAAATATAAAACAAGACACTATAATAAACAGCAATTAACATGTTTATTGTCAACAACAAGATCTTCCGTTGTTGTTCATTACACTATTCACTAAGAGATGGTGGAAACAGACGATAATCAGACCAGTTTGGGAATTCAGGTAACGCCAACCAGGAGATCAGAGTCTAAAATACAAAAAAAGGCACAAATTAAATCTATGAACACATAACTAAATGACACATCTTTAAGGCAGAATAAATACGTTATCTCTTATTCCGATTATTCATGGAATTGATGGTGATAGTTTTCTAGGCCCCGCCCCTATGAAAAACCAGCCCGTTATTGTCCACGTAAAAACATTGGGCATCGGGCCACAGAACTTGCCACCAGTAGCACCAGCAGTCAGATGAGCCGCGAGGAACGCGGAGTGAGTTCTTAGCACAGCTCCAGGTAGCTCGTACTGTAGTGATTCGTGTGGTCTATTGTTGTGACTTAGATGATGATCAGATCACATTTTATGACCAATTTGTGCAGAAATCCATAGCATTCCAAAGGGTTCACATACTTTTTCTTGCAACTGTATATGTTAGAACATTCATTCCCTTATTACGAGACACAATGAAAAGCTTTGAACTGTGGGACAATCTGCATAAGGTGAGGAGTAAACACTACATGTTACAAATAGCCCCCCAAAAACGGAAAATAATAAAAGTGAACCCAGAAATCGTATTTCTTTTATATAGTGTCCGTGCAGGGAAGGATTATAATTAGAATTCACGATAACCAGAGATGAAGGAGTTAATATTGTGATTTCTTCATTGCCTTAATTGTCATATAGTTACATATACACGCAATTATCACAATGGCTTTCAGATCTATAATTTAGTTTAAAAATGTAAAAAACAAAGGAAAAAAAAAAAGTTACCTGCGCTCTCTCACAAATCCCTATGTATATTTAAACAAATGGAGGTTATTCCAGTGGCCATTGGAGTCAAGGCAGACCCCCTCAGGTGGGTCCTACTCTGACCCTTCACCTTGCTTCCTTGAGCTTCTGGCAAATATATCTCTAATGAGACAGAAATGGGTATTTTTTTATATACACCCCTATATACTTATTAACCCTTAATAGGAAACACATGGGATGGGCGGCAGCATTGTAACAAAGCTGTGTGATACAAATAGTGGATACAAATACCAAAAAAAAGTGCTGCGCTCACTCCCATCACTCCTGGGCGGCTGCAACGACTACAGTACACATCAGCCAATACATATAGTAAAACCCAAAGGAAAAAGTTACCTGCGCTCTCTCCTTAATCCCTATGTATATTTAAACAAATGGAGGTCATTTAGTTACTCGCCCGCTTTTGGCCTTTTATAACTCAAGATACAAGTAAGGCACCAATTCAAACTGCTAACACTAACCTACAAAGTGCTATCAGCCAATGATGGCCCCTGAATAGAGAGGCCAATAGCATGCCTCCATTAATAGGCAGCTGGCTCTGCAGCCAAGTGAATATAAATTCTGGAAATTCCTTTCTAAAGGACAATAGGCAAAACCTGCTGAACCAGGGCAGATTTCAAACAAGCCCATTTGTGTTTCACTAACTAGATGCCTCCAAGTACGCTTCTTCAAATAACTACCAATAAGTGGGCAGGAGCCCTGCAGAACTGAACCTATTACAGAGTTAGAGAAGCTATTTTCCCCCATTTATTTTTGGCTAATTCCCCCCCCCGCCCTCCAGAAAAAGGTGGGCGCTGCCCCAACTGCCCCTATGGACAAACCTCCACTGTTTATTTCTACTAATAACATTATTTAACCTGACTCATTGTGTTTAAATTTGTATATTGTATTCTCTATTAAAATACAGAAGATGTTAGTACATCTAATTAACTGGATTATATCTAAATAATTGGATTATATCTAATTAACTGGATTACATCTAAATATCTCTATTATACCTGATTAATGCGATAGTTTATTCCTGTATTTCACATGATGTTTTACATTATTTTCTCGGCAGATAGATGCCACTTTGAGCAGTCTGAAATCAGCAATTTTATGAGTTTTTTTAAATGTTCACAAACCTTGTTAATGGCATCCCGGTACTCTGAAAGCAGTAAGTGGAAAGCTCATGTGGTTTCTATTTAAAATAATAGTATTGTGCAAATCATTAAAGAAACATTATAGTTTCAGGAATATAAACAAGTATTCCTGACTCTATAGTTCTAAAAGCGCTGTTTTAGTGTCCGGCACCCTTGTCTGCCTTTAAAAAGGTATTTAGCGCACCTTATTTCCAGCCCTGTGCCGGTCTTGCCGTGGCTGGCTCCGCCTCGTTGGCTAAAATTATCAAATGTGATGATCTCAGCCAATCCACTGCTTTTCCATATGAGGATTTTACACTTGCTTTTACATAGAATCTCCACATAGAGATGCGCAGAAGGAATGCCTCTTTATAGAGAGCATTAAGCGTCTCCATGCAGAGCGTGGAGGTGTTGCACATTGTGAAGCACTGACCCAGGAAGCACCTGTAACGGCTTTCTGAGTGACTGTCACTACAGGTGTCCCTAAGCAGCGTTGTAAACAATACAATTTATCTGAAAAAAGAAACAAGCTGTATACACCAGAACAAAAACATTAAGCTTCCGTTTTATACAAATGAGCAATACACAACTTTTCACCATCTTCTGGTGTACGGAATGTTTCATCATTATGTTTATTGTTCTTGGATTGTATTTTCCCTTTTCTGTGAGATCCTTACGGTAAATTCTCATCTCCACAACAAACTGAGATTAATGGATTAAACTGTTAAATAGAGGAATGGAAAGATTGGAGATTTGCCTTTTTTTAAATCTATTCTACGTAAATAATTTATTTAAAATTACTCTTTAGTAGATATAACCTTAATGAAAAACTGCATGCATTTAATTATGCATTTATATCATTTGGGGTATATCATTTGCAAGCGCTCCCCTTCTAGCCCCGCCCAGACTTTGTGTCTATCCAATCACAGACTTCCCAATGCAGCTCAATGAGAAGTCTTTGCAAGGCAGGTGCTCTGGGCAAATGCTGCCTCTTGAGTTTAGTTCCACCGAGCTAACAAAACCAGGAAGTAACAGTACCAGTTGTCTGATTGACAGCTGGGGGGGGTGTAACTAGTAAAATTTTTTTGAAATCTGCAGTTTTTTGTAAAATGAAAAGAAGACACACTTTTCACACATAAAGAACTTCAGCAAGCTAAAACGTTTTTTTAGGAAAACCTTTTTTCCATTATGTAACACTGCGGGTTCTTTGAATTAAAACATATGGCGACTCTCAGACACTATGCTGAATAGATCCCGTGATCAGGATTATATTAAGTCTTTCAGACTGTTACCTGGTCATACTAACCGTTGTTGAGGATGTGGATACGTCTCCTCATTCTTCACAGGTAACATAAAATGCGGTACTTGATACAAAGTCCCAGTTTTATCCCGATAATGATCACGGTGTTGTTCAGCGACCTATCACAAGAAGCATGCACCAGTGAGTGACATCAATACTCCACGAGAAGCTGAAATTCAAACCGTCAGGGCAGCTTGCTAATTGTTTAAGCAGGAAAGGATCGCACAAAAGGATTAATCCCAAAAATGCAATCAGTATTACGCCTGGGGTGAGATATTGCTTTATTCTATATCGAATGATCCAATGCAAATGACCTTACTATTTCCTTATGTGAAATGATATACATATATACGTTTTTGCGATTATAATGTAATGTGTTGGTTAAATATATTAATTTGTTAGCTTGTTGCTGCCTTTAGTCACACTTTATTTCTTAGAGTGTTTACTTTTTATCAAATTATTCTAGTATTTTGGTTGCTTCACAAACTGATTTCAATCTTACAGCATCAAGGAGCAAACACATTTGTTTAACTTTTTGTCTGTAACCCTAAAATGTAAAAAAATAAATAAATTGAAGTTTACTTAATATATTTCAACCCACCTCATAGTTAATTGGGTTTATGAATACTCCTCACGCATGACTAAAATTGTGACTTTTTGAAAATGTTAATTATTTATAAATATATAAAAAAACTCACAAGATTAAAACTAATTAAATGTAAGATTTGGAGTCAGTTTTGATAGCCCATTAAGTGTATTAGGGTGTCTATTCACTAAGTGCCGAACGGCATCCAAACAGCATCTGTTTAAACCCATTTGGCCAGTCACGAACTGCATTTGCACTCTGGTTTAGCTGCAGTTTGGGACTCCATATAATATGGGTTTCTTGGTAATTCACAAACAGGTGAATTACAGCCAAATTAGAGCTCAACCGCTTCAGTTGTTCCAATTCCCCTTATACAGAGCAGGGGACCTGCACCTAAAACTCTAGGCCAGGGATAGGCAAACTTCAGCACTCCAAATGTTTTGGACTACACCTCCCATAATGCTCTGCCAGCATTATGGCTGTAAGAGTATTGTGGGAGATGTAGTCCACAACACCTGGAGTGCCGACCTTTGATTACCAAGAAAGCCATATTATATGGAGTCCCAAACTGCAGCCAAACCAGAGTGCAAATGCAGTTCGTGACTGGCCAAATGGGTTTAAACAGATGCTGTTTGGATGCCGTTCGGCACTTAGTGAATAGACACCCTAGTACAATTAATGTAGGCCATCTTATCCTAAATCACAATGCTTTCCTATGGGGATTTCAGCAACGCTGAAGGTCCTCACACAGCGTGAGGAGGTCCAGCGTTGTTTTAAAACACTTTTCGTGTTCTATGAACATGGAAGTCCCTCTAGTGGCTGTCTAGTAGACAGCCACTAGAGGAGGACTTAACCCTGCAAGGTAATTATTGCGGTTTATGAAAACTGCACAATATTTACAGTTGCAGGATTAAGGGCAGTGGGAGTTGGCACCCAGACCACTCCAATGGGCAGAAGTGGTCTGGGTGCCTGGAGTATCCCTTTAATGCAAAGATCCCTTAAAGGGACACATTCATAAAATCTTGGAATTTCACAACAACAGATATAGATCCATCCAGTGACTTGATAACTGACTAGCAAAATGTAACACAACAACATTTAAAATGGATAAAGCCAGACACTTTAATTATAGGGGTGTGGCGAGGGGCGGGGCTGTTCTGGGAAATTTTCAGTGACTTACTAATAACAATCAATACAATTTAAAATGTAATTTAGAAAAAGAACAGTGTATCTTATTTACAAAGACTGCTTGCTAAACACATTTATTGGAGTTTAAAGACACATTACTGGGAGTATTATTGCTGTGGAGCTCTGTTATACACTCAGACACATTACTGGGAGTATTATTGCTGTGGAGCTCTGTTATACACTCAGACACATTACTGGGAGTATTATTGCTGTGGAGCTCTGTTATACACTCAGACACATTACTGGGAGTATTATTGCTGTGGGGCTCTGTTACACACTCAGACACATTACTGGGAGTATTATTGCTGTGGAGCTCTGTTACACACTCAGACACATTACTGGGAGTATTATTGCTGTGGAGCTCTGTTATACACTCAGACACATTACTGGGAGTATTATTGCTGTGGAGCTCTGTTATACACTCAGACACATTACTGGGAGTATTATTGCTGTGGAGCTCTGTTATACACTCAGACCCATTACTGGGAATATTATTGCTGTGGAGCTCTGTCATACACTCAGACACATTACTGGGAGTATTATTGCTGTGGAGCTCTGTTATACACTCGGACACGTTACTGGGAGTATTATTGCTGTGGAGCTCTGTTATACACTCAGACACATTACTGGGAGTATTATTGCTGTGGAGCTCTGTTATACACTCAGACACATTACTGGGGTATTATTGCTGTGGAGCTCTGTTATACACTCAGACACATTACTGGGAGTATTATTGCTGTGGAGCTCTGTTATACACTCGGACATATTACTGGGAGTATTATTGCTGTGGAGCTCTGTTATACACTCGGACATATTACTGGGAGTATTATTGCTGTGGAGCTCTGTTATACACTCGGACACATTACTGGGAGTATTATTGCTGTGGAGTTCTGTTATACACACAGACACATTACTGGGAGTATTATTGCTGTGGAGCTCTGTTATACACTCAGACACATTACTGGGAGTATTATTGCTGTGGAGCTCTGTTATACACTCAGACACATTACTGGGAATATTATTGCAGTGGAGCTCTGTTATACACTCAGACGCATTACTGGGAGTATTATTGCTGTGGAACTCTGTTATACCATCAGACACATTACTGGGAGTATTATTGCTGTGGAGCACTGTTATATACTCAGACACATTACTGGGAGTATTATTGCGGTGGAGCTCTGTTATACACTCAGACACATTACTGGGAGTATTATTGCTGTGGAGCTCTGTTATACACTCAGACACATTACTGGGAGTATTATTGCTGTGGAGCTCTGTTATACACTCAGACACATTACTGGGATTATTATTGCTGTGGAGCTCTGTTATACACTCAGACACATTACTGGGATTATTATTGTTGTGGAGCTCTGTTATACACTCAGACACATTACTGGGAGTATTATTGCTGTGGCGCTCTGTTATACACTCAGACACATTACTGGGAGTATTATTGCTGTGGAGCTCTGTTATACACTCAGACACATTACTGGGAGTATTATTGCTGTGGAGCTCTGTTATACACTCAGACACATTACCGGGAGTATTATTACTGTGGGGTTCTGTGATTCAACTGTACACACCAACAATATGGAGCTCCTAGAAAAGAGGGATAGAGGGATTTGGGCCCAAAATAGGGACTGTCCCTCCTAATTAGGGACACTTGGGAGATGGGAAAATGTATTGGCCTTTTTTGAATGTAAGTTTTCAAATCACCACAACTTTTTGCTTAGTGAACAGATCCTATAATATGTTTAAATGCAGGCCAAGTAGCATTCATGGTGTAATAATGACTATTTTGGGGAGTTAAGCTGTTCTGTCAGGTTACAGACCTTTTTAAAGTGTTTCAGTTCTTCTGTTCTATCGTAGTCCACGTTATATCTTGAGCAGTTTGGACTATACAGCCATCTGTCCCACCCCCGAGACCTGTTGCTTATAACTAATGCAGGATCATTTGAGTATCTCGTAGGGAACTGCCCGCCCTTAGAGTAGTGCGTCTGGCTGGAATTCAGAGCCGTAGAGCGGAAATCCTGGAAGTATCGAGCCGAGGTGTTTCCAAACGTATCTCCATAGGTGAAGGCTTGGGCTGGAACATATCCTCGATATCTGGAAAATAAAATATACGCTCATGTAGATATTTGACTTCATTATATCAATCCTCCTATGAACACTAGAAATATCAAACACATGCAAGTAATAATAATAATAATAATCATTTCTAATTCACATTTCATTGATTCCTTTATAAAGCACATTCCATGACTGTGTGCAATGGGCAATGTATTATGGACATATAGCGATACAGAAATCGTCATTTATAGAAAAGTGGAGACTGAGGATTCAGCCTTTCTTTATGAATGACAACATCCCAGCACTGAATAAATTCATTCGTTAACATCTACATTCATGTGTTACTACACACATTAACATGCATCATACATGCACACTGTCCTAGGGAACTGCAAATGCCATTAGGTTTTGTGTTTTTTTTTACAAATTTCACTTAAATCTGCATTTCTTAGAATATCTGGACAATTGCTATTTTAGAGAATAAGCGTTACAGTCATACATTTCTATAGAAATACATCTTCCAATTCACACACTGCACTCACTCACAATCTGTTCACACATATATATTAACAGGATTAGTAGGAATAACCAGCAAAACTGAAACAGAAATTGGAAAATGCCCAGGTGCTGTGTCTATTCTGCCCTCCCCAACTACAGGAAAATATGACAAATAAATAGAATTTAGTGTATATATACCCAGCATTCAGACACAACGCACAAATGCATTCTCACATCACATCATCTTATACCTCCTAAGTGTCCCTATTTAGGAGAGACAGTCCCTATTTTGGGCTCCTATCCCTCTGTCCCTCTTTTCTCTTCTAATGTCCACCTCACAGTAAGAAGATGCTGACGCCCATAGGGGGCAAGTGTCTTTTTAGCCTTGCGGCTAACTGACATGCTGGGCGGGCGGCGATGGCAATCGGCTGGCGAGGGAGCTCTTCCTCTGAGCTGTCTGCTCAGCTCCCTCACGCGCCGCAGAGTGAGGCTGGGAGCTGGAATATGACATCATATTCCGTCTCCCAGCCTCACTCTGCGGCGCGTGAGGGAGCTGAGCAGAGTACTCAGGGGAAGTGCTCCCTCGCCAGACGCCTGCCAGCGCCGCCCGCCTAGCAGCAACTGGACCCTCAGGGAGAAAGAGAACCCCCCCCAGCATTCCCAAAGGTAAGGAGGCTGGGGGGGTTAAATAAAAAAAAATGTGTTAATGTGATTTAGTGTGTGTGTATGTCTGTTAGTGTGTGTGTCTGTTAGTGTGAGTGTGTGTGTCTGTTAGTGTGTGTCTGTTAGTGTGTGTGTCTGACTGTGTGTGTGTCTGTTAGTGTGAGTGTGTTTGCCAGTGAGTGTGTGTGTGTCTGCTAGTGAGTGTGTCTGCTAGTGTGTTTCTGTGTGTGTCTGTTAGCTAGTGTATGCATATCTGTCAGTGAGTGTGTGTGTGTGTGTGTGTGTGTGTGTGTATTTAGAAGGCGGGGCGGGGGGAATGGTTGAGGGGCGCCTGAGTTTTGTCCTGCCTAGGCAAGCACAAAACCAGGCCCCAGCCCTGGCCACACACCCCTAACGTTAAACTGTCTTAATTAAGGTATGAGCAGATTCTCATGATCCCATTTAATGCTGTATTTCTGGTGTGTGAATGAGGTTACCAGATGATTTTGTGAGTTTCTACACAATGAAAATCAACCTTCTGCAATTGTTATTTATATGTACATGTAGGTTTGCATGTAATAATATCAGTAAACACTAGATGGTGCCAGATAACAATAAAACACCATTCTTTCTAGTTCCATCCACATAGAGAATGCGGAATTATCTCCTTTTCATGGCCTGTGTTGGTGATATGTAAAATATCATCGGATTTACTAACAGTTATTCACCAAAATGACAAATCACACAGGATTGGGAAGATTCACAAAGCCCCAATATTAACATTTATAACCAAACAAATCAAAACAAATTCAAATGGCACACTGACCGCAGTCCACTCTTTCAAATACCTGGGTATGATGTTAGACCCCAATCTATCTTTTGGCCTCCACATAAAAAAACTTGCATCTAACCTTTATCCAAAACTAGGTGCATGTCTTCCTCTTGTACAATTACTTAGAGCCCCACCTGCCACCGATTAGTTCCCCCATGTATTATTAATAGAGCCCCCACCTGCTGCTATTGGGTGGGGGCTAAAGTGGGAAAATTAGGTCCATGGTATAAAATTAATAGCCCCCACTGCTGATAAAAGGTGGGGGCAGGGGGGCAATAGGATGTCACCACCATTGTTCTTCCAGCTGGCCATAAGTTGACATTGATTTGTCCTCTCCCAATGTATATATCTAATGCCCCCCAATCGATACCCATGACTATGACCATCCAGTAATTTTACAGACTTCATCCCCATGGGCAGGGGCCTTACTAGTGACCTGGCACCAATGGCTGCACATTTGCTAGTTTAAAACATTTAGTAAATAAAAAGCCTCCCTTATAAAATGTGGATCTCTTATCGACTCCCACAGGCTTGTTATTCATTACTTTATTAATGCGGTTTGTGGCCAGGGAGCGTTTGCCAGTCACCACATAATTAACCCCCGCATGCCATTTGCATAAAATAGTGAATGCTAATTTGTGAATGTGGATCCTGTTGGATGCATGCTGAATAAAAGTTGCAAGCCAATTTGATTTATTTTCCAGTATTTTTTATTAATTATGGTATCTTTTATTATTATTTAATGTAATATAATATTTTTTTAACCCATTACATTAGAATTTCCTTTGTTTTACTTTGGCATAATCGTAACAAAAATAAAAAATGACAATTCCATCTTACAGGCACATAGGCTTGTGCTCAATGGTAGGCCTTGGTTCTACGGTAGGCATCTGCTCTACGGCAGGCCTGGGTTCTACAGTAGGCTACTATTGCTATTACTGGCCACCAACTCAACTATACCTGACCACCGTGGCAGCTGAAGAAGGACACAGGAGGCAGTACTACAGGATGCCAACTTTGGAGTCATATCGTTCTAAAATGTTGTAACCCCATGATGGGGTATAGCGAGAGTATAGCCCCTATAATTACTTCATTGAGAGGACCACTGAGATTATTACGGGAGGCTGGAGTAAATACAGAGTGGTCCTTTAATAAAAGCACATTTTAGAATGAACTTCTAATCTGTATTTATTTTGAAATATTATTGTTTAATATACTGCTATAATTAATTTGCTGTATGGCTCTCAATAGATTTGTGGAAAAAGGTTTAATTACGTGCATCAACCTCATTATGAAATCAAATGTTAGAAAGAAGGTCATTCAAGGAGTTCAGGAAGAAGAGATTTTAGTTTAATTACTGAAACACCAGCACTTCTATCGTATCTTAATTAAATTAATTTCTCAAATATGCAAAAACATGCTTTCTTTTTAACCAGTAAATGCAGAATGAGTCTGCTACGTTCTGTGTAAAACTTTGGAAATGGATCATAGTTAGCAGATGTAGTTAGTTTTTGGGGGGGATTTGATTTTTTCTTTTTAAATTTTTTTCCAATATTATAAAGTCAGAAGTAAGAAATATATATAGTTTATGGTAACAATAGTGAGAAACAAATAATTGACACATTTGCTGTTCACTTAGGTCATCATAACAGAGAAAGGACACTATTCGTAAAATCTACGGGTTGTGAAATTGGTGCCTCTGATAAGAACATTGTGTGGCCTTATCAGAAGCACCGTTCTCACAGCTCCTGGATTTTACAAATACACAGTGATGGAGTAGTTTGGGATATCCAATCAGTGGTTCTCTCTATTCATACAGTGATGGAGTAGTTTGGGATACCCAATCAGTGGTTCTCTCTATTCATACAGTGATGGAGTAGTTTGTGATATCCAATCAGTGATTCTCTCTATTTATACAGCGATGGAGTAGTTTGGGATACCCAATCAGTGGTTCTCTCTATTTATACAGCGATGGAGTAGTTTGGGATATCCAATCAGTGATTCTCTCTATTTATACAGTGATGGAGTAGTTTGGGATATCCAACCAGAGATTCTCTCTATTTATACAGTGATGGCGTAGTTTGGGATATCCAATCAGTGATTCTCTCTATTTATACAGTGATGGCGTAGTTTGGGATATCCAATCAGTGGTTCTCTCTATTCATACAGTGATGGAGTAGTTTGGGATATCCAATCAGTGATTCTCTCTATTTATACAGCGATGGAGTAGTTTGGGATATCCAATCAGAGATTCTCTCTATTTATACAGTGATGGAGTAGTTTGGGATATCCAGTCAGTAGTTCTCTCTATTCATACAGTGATGGAGTAGTTTGGGATATCCAATCAGTGTTTCTCTCTATTCATACAGTGATGGAGTAGTTTGGGATATCCAATCAGTGATTCTCTCTATTTATACAGTGATGGAGTAGTTTGTGATATCCAATCAGTGATTCTCTCTATTTATACAGTGATGGAGTAGTTTGTGATATCCAATCAGTGATTCTCTCTATTTATACAGCGATGGAGTAGTTTGGGATATCCAATCAGTGGTTCTCTCTATTTATACAGCGATGGAGTAGTTTGGGATATCCAATCAGTGGTTCTCTCTATTTATACAGCGATGGAGTAGTTTGGGATATCCAATCAGTGATTCTCTCTATTTATACAGCGATGGAGTAGTTTGGGATATCCAATCAGTGGTTCTCTCTATTTATACAGCGATGGAGTAGTTTGGGATATCCAATCAGTGATTCTCTCTATTTATACAGCGATGGAGTAGTTTGGGATATCCAATCAGTGGTTCTCTCTATTTATACAGCGATGGAGTAGTTTGGGATATCCAATCAGTGATTCTCTCTATTTATACAGCGATGGAGTAGTTTGGGATCATCTCTATTTATCCAATCGGTGATTCTCTCTATTTATCTAGCGATATCATCGGTGATTCTCCTATTTATACAGCTGATGGGTAGTTTGGGATATCCAATCCAATCAGTGATTCTCTATTTATACAGTGATGGAGTAGTTTGGGATATCCAATCAGTGATTCTCTCTATTTATACAGTGATGGAGTAGTTTGTGATATCCAATCGGTGATTCTCTCTATTTATACAGTGATGGAGTAGTTTGGGATATCCAATCAGTGATTCTCTCTATTTATACAGTGATGGAGTAGTTTGGGATATCCAATCAGTGATTCTCTCTATTTATACAGCGATGGAGTAGTTTGTGATATCCAATCAGTGATTCTCTCTATTTATACAGTGATGGAGTAGTTTGGGATATCCAATCAGTGGTTCTCTCTATTTATACAGCGATGGAGTAGTTTGGGATATCCAATCAGTGATTCTCTCTATTTATACAGTGACGGAGTAGTTTGGGATATCCAATCAGTGATTCTCCCTATTTATACAGTGATGGAGTAGTTTGGGATATCCAACCAGAGATTCTCTCTATTTATACAGTGATGGCGTAGTTTGGGATATCCAATCAGTGGTTCTCTCTATTTATACAGCTGATGGAGTAGTTTGGGATATCCAATCAGTGGTTCTCTCTATTTATACAGTGATGGAGCAGTTTGGGATACCCAATCAATGATTCTCTCTATTTATACAGTGATGGAGTAGTTTGGGATATCCAACCAGAGATTCTCTCTATTTATACAGTGATGGAGCAGTTTGGGATATCCAATCGGTGATTCTCTCTATTTATACAGTGATGGAGTAGTTTGGGATATCCAATCAGTGATTCTCTCTATTTATACAGTGATGGAGTAGTTTGGGATATCCAATCAGTGATTCTCCCTATTTATACAGTGATGGAGTAGTTTGGGATATCCAATCAGTGATTCTCTCTATTCATACAGTGATGGAGTAGTTTGGGATATCCAATCAGTGGTTCTCTCTATTTATACAGTGATGGAGTAGTTTGGGATATCCAATCAGTGATTCTCTCTATTTATACAGTGATGGAGTAGTTTGGGATACCCAATCAGTGATTCTCTCTATTTATACAGTGATGGAGTAGTTTGGGATATCCAATCGGTGATTCTCTCTATTTATACAGTGATGGAGTAGTTTGGGATATCCAATCAGTGGTTCTCTCTATTTATACAGCGATGGAGTAGTTTGGGATATCCAATCAGTGATTCTCTCTATTTATACAGTGATGGAGCAGTTTGGGATACCCAATCGGTGATTCTCTCTATTTATACAGTGATGGAGTAGTTTGGGATATCCAATCAGTGGTTCTCTCTATTTATACAGTGATGGAGTACTTTAGGATATCCAATCAGTGATTCTCTCTATTTATACAGTGATGGAGTAGTTTGAGATATCCAATCGGTGATTCTATTTATACAGTGATGGAGTAGTTTGGGATATCCAATCAGTGATTCTCTCTATTTATACAGCGATGGAGTAGTTTGTGATATCCAATCGGTGATTCTCTCTATTTATACAGTGATGGAGTAGTTTGGGATATCCAATCGGTGATTCTCTCTATTTATACAGTGATGGAGTAGTTTGGGATATCCAATCAGTGGTTCTCTCTATTTATACAGTGATGGAGTAGTTTGGGATATCCAATCAGTGGTTCTCTCTATTTATACAGTGATGGAGTAGTTTGGGATATCCAATCAGTGATTCTCTCTATTTATACAGTGATGGAGGAGTTTGGGATATCCAATCAGTGGTTCTCTCTATTTATACAGTGATGGAGGAGTTTGGGATATCCAATCAGTGATTCTCTCTATTTATACAGCGATGGAGTAGTTTGGGATATCCAATCAGTGATTCTCTCTATTTATACAGTGATGGCGTAGTTTGGGATATCCAATCGGTGATTCTCTCTATTTATACAGTGATGGCGTAGTTTGGGATATCCAATCAGTGGTTCTCTCTATTTATACAGTGATGGAGGAGTTTGGGATATCCAATCAGCGATTCTCTCTATTTATACAGTGATGGCGTAGTTTGGGATATCTGTGTAGGGATGCATTGTGTGTGTATGTGTATTATGTGCTTCTGTGTGTGTGTGTAGGGATGGGTTGTGTGTTCTGTGTATGTGTAGGGATGAGTTTGTGTAGGGATGAGTTGTGTGTTTCTGTGCGTGTTTAGGGATGCATTCTGTGTTTCTGTGTATGTGTAGGGATGCACTGTGTTTTTCTGTGTGTGTGTGTGAGTGTGGGGATAAATTGTGTGTTTTTGTGTGTAGGGATGCATTGTGTGTATGTGTGTGTTTATAAATTGTGTGTTTCTGTGTATGTGTAGGGATGAGTTGTGTGTTTCTGTGTGTGTGTGTGTGTAGGGATGCACTGTGTATATGTGTGTGTAGTGTGAAAGAGAGAGTTTGTGGGGTAGGCTGAGTCTTGCAGCTCTTTATTTTTATTACTATATTTTGTTAAAATATTTTTTGTATTTTTTTGTGTCTTACACCCCCCTTTAGTGTATACAAGCTCCCTGTATTTCTCTTTGTATGTCTCCTACATCCTCACAACTTTTTGCATGTCTTCCTCTCCCAGCCCTATTGTTTATTTTACTCCCCCCAGTCCTATTGTTCCTTTTACTCCCCCAGCCTTATTGTTTCTTGTACTCTCCCTCAACCCTATTGTTTCTTTGCTCCTAGCCCTATCGTTTCTTTTACACTCCCCCTGACCCTATTGTTTCCTTTACTCCCCCAGCCCTATTGTTTTCTCCCCAAGCCTATTGTTTCTTTACTCCCCGGCCTATTGTTTTATTTTTACTCCTAACCCTATTGTTTTATTTCTCCCCAGCCCCTATTGTTCCTTTGCTCCCCAGCCCTATTGTTCCTTTTACTCCCCCAGCCCTATTGTTTCTTTTACTCCCCCAACCCTATTGTTTCTTTTACTCCCCCCAGCGCCTTTGTGTGTGTTTATGTCACCCCAGGCCCCTCTGTGCGTCTTTCTCCTTCCCAGGCCCCTCTGTGTCTCTCTCTCCCGAGTCCATCTGTTTGTCTCTTTCTCCCCTACCTTATGGACTGACAAGCGCACATGCCGGGACTGTTGCAGCAAAAACAGGACAGTTGGCAAATGTTCATTTCCTGTAGGTCCCCAGTGTGTCTCTATGAGAAATATCAGACTGGCTGAATGTGGTGAGTAACATGCATGTCCCGTGGGTCCCCAGTGTCTCATAGAAACATAGAATGTGACGGCAGATAAGAACCATTCCGCCCATCTAGTCTGCCCAATTTTCTAAATCCTTTCATTAGTCCCTAGTCTTATCTTATAGTTAGGATAGCCTTATGCCTATCCCACGCATGCTTAAACTCCTTTACTGTGTTAACCTCTACCACTTCAGCTGGAAGGCTATTCCATGCATCCACTACCCTCTCAGTAAAGTAATATTTCCTGATATTATTTTTAAACCTTTGTACCTGTAATTTAAGACTATGTCCTCTTGTTGTGGTAGTTTTTCTTCTTTTAAATATAGTCTCCTCCTTTACTGTGTTGATTCCCTTTATATATTTAAATGTTTCTATCATATCCCCCCTGTCTCGTCTTTCCTCCAAGCTATACATGTTAAGATCCTTTAACCTTTCCTGGTAAGTTTTATCCCGCAATCCATGAACCAGTTTAGTAGCCCTTCTCTGAACCCTCTCTAAGGTATCAATATCCTTCTGAAGATACGGTCTCCAGTACTGTGTACAATACTCCAAGTGAGGTCTCACCAGTGTTCTGTACAATGGCATGAGCACTTCCCTCTTTCTACTGCTAATACCTCTCCCTATACAACCAAGCATTCTGCTAGCATTTCCTGCTGCTCTATTACATTGTCTGCCTACCTTTAAGTCATCAGAAATAATCACCCCTAAATCCCTTTCCTCATATGTTGAGGTTAGGACTCTATCAAATATTCTGTACTCTGCCCTTGGGTTTTTACGTCCAAGATGCATTATCTTGCACTTATCCACATTAAATGTCAGTTGCCACAATTCTGACCATTTTTCTAGTTTACCTAAATCATTTGCCATTTGGCTTATCCCTCCTGGAACATCAACCCTGTTACATATCTTAGTATCATCAGCAAAAAGACATACCTTACCATCAAGACCTTCTGCAATATCACTAATAAAAATATTAAAGAGAATGGATCCAAGTACAGATCCCTGAGGTACCCCACTGGTGACAAGTCCAAGCTTCGAATATATTCCATTAACTACAACCCTCTGTTGCCTGTCACTCAGCCACTGCCTTACCCATTCAACAATATTTGAATCCAAACTTAAAGATTGCAGTTTATTGATAAGCCTTCTATGTGCAACAGTGTCAAAAGCCTTACTGAAATCTAGGTAAGCAATGTCTACTGCACCACAATGATCTATAATTTTAGTTACCCAATCAAAAAAATCAATAAGATTAGTTTGGCATGATCTCCTTGAAGTAAACGTTGTCTCTGATCTTGAAATCCATGTGTTTTTAGATGTTCATCAATTCTATCTTTTAACATGGTTTCCATCACTTTCCCCACTACTGAAGTAAGGGTTACTGGCCTATAGTTGCCTGACTCCTCCCTATTACCTTTCTTGTAAATGAGAAGTATCAGACTGGCTGAGTGTGGTGAGTACCATGCATGTCCCGTGGGTCCCCAGTGTCTCTCTATGAGAACTATCAGACTGGCTGTGTGTGGTGAGTACCATGCATGTCCCGTGGGTCCCCAGTGTCTCTCTATGAGAACTATCAGACTGGCTGTGGTGAGTTCCATGCATTTCCTGTAGGTCCCAAATGTTTCTCTATAAGAAGCATTGGATTGAAGCAGAGACTATCTAGACAGATGGGGTCAGAAGAAGAGAAGTGTCTCACAGAGACTGTGCAGAGATGGATTACCAGTTATTTCACATGGGAGGGGCCATCATCTAGAGCTCAGGAACACTGATATTCAAAATAAATATATTTATTGTTAGTGATCCGATAATGATGAATGGACAGATTCTGAATTAGTAGACTGTCAGAGTGAATCAGCATATTCCCTGGGTGAATGAAAAATGTTCAAGATGAATGGACAGAATTTCTGGATGAATTAGCGGATAATCACGGTGAATGACAGATTCTCAAATGAATTAGCGGATTATCAGAGTAAATTGACAGATTATCTGGATGAATAAAAGGATAAACAAGGTGAATGGACAGATTCTCCCGAAGAATTAGTGCATTTTCAGGGTGAATGGACAGATTCTCTGGATGAATTCGTGGATTATCAGAGTAAATGGACAGATTCACAGGATGAATAAAATGATTAACAGGATGAATAACAGATTCTCTGGATGAATTAGAGGATTATCAGGGTGAATGACAGATTCTCAGGATGAATTAGAAGATTATCAGGGTGAATGACAGATTAAAGGATAGTTGGGTAGTTTCAAGGTGAAAGGTTATCTGGATAAATTGGCTGGGCTAACTGATTAATCTTTAAGTCTTTGCATTTTCTTTATTTTGGCCAAAATAGAAAGGAAATAGACAATGTTTTATTCTTTCCTGAATAAAGGGCATCACAGTTTACACGAGCCCCATGCTCCGTTAGGCATCGTAACTCATGCAATTAAACTGCAATTTAAATACAAAGACTTGTTAGCTGAGCTTGTAACATTATCTTGCTTCAGCTGAACCATGGATTATATAACTTGATGAAAAATTCATCTAAACAGAAAACAACGGCTCTTTTTCCGCTCCAGATAAAAAATAAAATAGCCAGGATACCCAGATATAACTCAGTTATAGAAAGCCAGTCGGAATATGGCTGCATTGATCTCATATAACAAATAGTAGCTTACTTTTTAAAATTATTCTGAATTTCAAATGTAAATATCAAACCAGATAATATAATTAAAGGAACACAATTGTGTATTCTTGACCCTATAGTGTAGGCCTCTTGACCCCCCTAAATAACTAGAAAACTCACCTTATTTCTTGCCCCCCTTAAATAACTAGAAAACCCACCTTATTTTTTGCCCCCCTAAATAAATAGAAAACTCACCTTATTTCTTGCCCCCCCTTTACATAACTAGAAAACTCACCTTATTTCTTGCCCCCCTTAAATAACTAGAAAACCCACCTTATTTTTTGCCCCCCTAAATAAATAGAAAACTCACCATATTTCTTGCCCCCCCCCCTTTACATAACTAGAAAACTCACCTTATTTTAAGCGCTGCGCTGTTCTGCCGGCGCTTGCGCCACCCACAATCAAAAGAGTCGAGATGCTGAATGTCAGCACTGACCCAGGAAGCACCTCTCGTGGTAATCTGAGGAGTGGCCACTGGAGGTGTCCCTTGGGAGCAATGTAAACACTATATTTTATCTTAAAAAGGCAGTGTTTACATTAAAAAGCCTGAGGGGACATGCTATTCTTATCTGAATAACTACATTAAGCTGTATATTATACATTAAGCTATATACTATACAGTAAGCTGTATACTGTACATCAAGCTGTATATCATACATTAAGCTGTATATTATACATTAACCTCTATACCGTACATTAAGCTGTATACTATACATTAACCTCTATACCGTACATTAAGCTGTATACCGTATATTAAGCTGTATATTATACATTAACCTCTATACCGTACATTAAGCTGTATACTATACATTAACCTCTATACCGTACATTAAGCTGTATACTATACATTAAGCTGTATACTGTACATTAACCTGTATATCATACATTAAGCTGTATACAGTACATTGAGCTGTATACAGTACATTAAGCTGTATACAGTACATTAAACTGTATATTATACATTAAGCTGTATACCGTATATTAAGCTGTATATTATACATTAAGCTGTATACCGTATATTAAGCTGTATATTATACATTAAGCTGTATACCGTATATTAAGCTGTATATTATACATTAAGCTGTAGTTGTTCTGGTGACTACAGTGTGCCTTTAATTAATTTGCATAATACGTCACAGTGTTCCATATACTGTAGAATACAGATGACTGAGAAAGACCGTCAATTAATATAACTTTAAGCTCCTGTGTGTTTATGGGTGAATCTAAAAAATGTAAGCATCTCTGAACAGCACTTTTTGTAAAGCACACGTTTATAAATGTTCAGCTCTATATTAGACATGTACGATTTGTTTTGTTTCAAATCAAATTTCATCCAATTCGGTAACTTGGAAATCTGAATCGGACGGAAAATAAAACTAAAACGAATAAAAATGGATCTGTAAAAAATCGAATCGATAACTTTGGTATCCATTCGTTTTGGTATGGATAGCAAATTAGGGAGTTTTATAGTAGACAACTTAAAGGACCACTATACTGCCAGGAAACATACTCGTTTTCCAGGCACTATAGTGCCCTGAGGGTGCCCCCACCTTCAGGGTCCCACTCCAGCGCCAGGCGGGGAGCTCTCCTCCTCCTCTCCGCCTCCTCAGCTGATTGCGCCTCCTCACAATGGTTTCCTATGGACGCTGGTGTCTTCTCACTGTGAAAATAACAGTGAGAAGCACGCAAGCGCCTCTAGCGGCTGTCAATGAGACAGCCACTAGAGGCTGGATTAACCCTAATATAAACATAGCAGTTTCTCTGAAGCTGAAGTGGTCTGGGTGCCTATAGTGGTCCTTTTAAAGAGAAAAATTAGGAAATGTTCATCTTTCATCTATTTAGTAACTAGCTTCCTAACTTGTTTGAGATTGCCATAATTAAGGATTTATTTACTAAATACCCCAAAGACCAAAAGTAAGTAAAGCCAAGTTCTTCATTTGTTTAGTAGATAACTCCCTCATTTGCTGTCCTTACAAGGGATTGCCATAATTAAGGACCCCAATTTAGGGCAGTGTTTAGCAGATACCTTTATTTGGTATCCTTAAATATGGCAATCCCAAGTAAGGATAGTAAATGAGCGTGCTATGGAAGGGATTTTCCTGATTTTGATATTTCAGTAGTTTAGCAGATAACTCCCTAAATTAGCACTAACTGTGACCACCACCTTCATTCACTCCCTATAGGGAATAACATGCATTCAAGGGTAAAATTTGAAATCTAACAAGTCAAAACAATAGATTTTCCCAAGTGCGCCTCTACTCTGTAAACATGAATATCAAATTTAGAAATAATATTAACCCCTTAAGGACACGTGACATATGTGACATGTCATGATTCCCTTTTATTCCAGAAGTTTGGTCCTTAAGGGGTTAAAGAATAAAGTTAAGTAATCTCCAAATATGAGCCCACACGTGGCGTAATATGAATAGAAAAAATTCTTCAAATACAGTTTGTTCTTGAGCTCCATGAATTTTAGTTTGGCTATTGTAGCCTCAAATTCGAAATTCACTGCAAATGAACTTTCATCTCTCGACAATTCTGACTTGTGAATCAATGGGAGTGTGGTGCCCTCTGTTTATTGGTGGATAGATCTAAACGTATTATTAACAGTAACGTTCTGAACGTGGAGATCTAGCAATAGGCTCACAAGTGAGATTCAGCGATAGTCTTCAATGTATAAGGAGAAACTCTTATTATTGCATGACAATAACTGCACTCCTATTTACATGTCTCACCGAGGAGAACTATGCTGAATTCAGACTCCCATCAAACTACGCTCAAAGCAAAGCACAGATCAGTATATTTAATAAGATTCTCGCTCCATGGAATATTTTCTTCTCACTGATAGATTATATAAAGAATGGACTCTCCCAGATTTCACACTACCTATTCAAACACATTCCCTTTGGGCTGTCCTCCTGGCCCTTACAGGTAGCCCCATCTCTCCTCTTCACAGATTGCTGTTCTCCTTGGCTCCTGTGAATGACTTCACCCTGTCTCGTTATTTCCTGCCTCTGAGTGCCAATGCTAATATCATTTGATTCAGATCTCATTTTTAATTTGCTTGTTTTTTGGCTAATTACTGATTTTGTTTTTACATTTCAGTCTGCAATGACTACAATTTCCAGGATAAGAGGGCATAAGAAAAGAAAAAAAAATAATTTTGATGATATTTGTATTTTGATATTCATCCTTTTTATTAATATAATTTAGGTGGACTAACAGGCAATTTTGGAATCGTATTCCTTTTTTTAATGCTGTCAAAGAGACTGAATTGAAAGAGACTGAATTGTGTTTTGGTTATTAAAACACGATTAAATGTGTCTTCGTATTTTAATGATCCATGTACTTTCATTAAATATACTTGTGTTTTTTGGTATCTTTACCTACTCACTAATTAGGAGAGCTTTTCTAGATACAAAGTCTTCCCACCCTTCCCACCTCCGAGCATTGTCTCTAAGGAAAGTGGTCCATCTAACCGTTCTTCAGCCAGAAATACAATGTTACTTATTTTGGAAGAACGGGTGTATGACATATATCATTTTTCACGAGGCATCCGTTTTTAACGGTTTCTAGGCTGGGTTAGTCACCTTGCAAGTGACCCCTGAACCTTGTCAAAGTTACCTGATACTCTGAGCTACTCAGGTAACTGGAGAGAGGAAGGATGTGTGTGAGATGTACGGCCAGGTAGAGAATGTAAAGTGTCATTATGGTTTGCTATTTTATCCAGTAATTATAATTTAGCTTACAATATAACATTTTCCAGTCATTTTGTCACCTTGACATTGTGTTAGAATTCCATCAGATCACACCTGGCTGTATAGAGATACATCTTCTTCGGAATCAGACATCCTGACACGCAGAGAACGGCTACTGACGTTTAGCTGATCCCTATACTAACAAATTATTGCTACACGGACTACTCTACATTCAGAATATACACGATTCCCCACTACATACATACAAGATATTTCTTTCATGTTCAACGTATCCTGACTGTTTACTTCTTAATATAATTTCTTTTGGCGCAAAATTCTTTTGATACTTCCTTAATAGTCATATATATCTTCTTAGCAAAACGGCTACAAAAGATACAAATTGGCTGCAAAAAAGATTGGAAAAATGAAACGATTTTCATTTTCACGCCTCTGTCTCTATCTGAATAATTTAAACAATCTTTGTGACACAGACCTTTTAAGGCAAACAATCTGTTAGTAAGATTGCAGGACAGAGAATTCTGCTAGTCCGGACATTAAACCCGTCACAAATCATGTTTAATAACACGTCTGACAGATACCACAGGTAAACGGAAACACAAAACATGAGGGATATCTACTAAGAGCAGTGAAGAAGTGCAGTGTTTTATTTATCTGCAATATATGTCTGCCGTTTACCATCTCACTTGAACTGCTGAGCTGAATGATTTATAATAATCGCCTTATTGAAAAAGAATGGTTAGCTCATATTAAAAATGTTTTATTTTTTTGTGAATCTGTTTTTTTTATTTATTTTTTCATTTGTTGTGTCGGTTATTATAAATTTTAATTTGGCCTTTTTTGGGGCCTGAAGAACAGAAGTATTAGAAGAAAGAAGACTACCGATGGTAAGTATATTTTTTAACAGTTATTAGTTTTATTGGTCTCCCCCATACTATTATTATGGTGAGGGGGATACAGACATTTATTTATATTGGGGAGTGGCTTGAAAATTTAGGAACCTTAGCCACCCAGAGAGAAGCAAGGGGAGGAGGGTGGCCAAGGAAGTCCTAATACTATGCATGATGACATCGAGCGTCATGTAGAACCCCGTAGAAACTACTATGGGGAAATACTAATGCGAGCGAGGCCATCGCCACCCGTGAGCATTAGGTCTCCCGGAGGCAGCGCTACAATAAGGTAAATGACACAATGGGGGCTCTATAGGGAGCTATAGTGCCAGAAACGCTACTTTGTTTTCCTGGCATTGTAGTTTCCCTTTAAATCTGTTTATCTGTTCCTTTTTGCTATCTAAACCTCATTTTGAATGTGCAACATTTTGTCAATCTTTTCATCCTTTTTTTCACGTAAAAATTGTTCTTTCACTTTTCTTTTTTCCACCACTCTATAACCGATGGCCTTTTCTGAAATGTATACATTTCTGTTAAAAAATGGTGGAATTTAAGTAAAGAAAAACTGACTCTTTTTATATAATTTCTAGAACAATTTAGTGAATAAATGGAGCAGATTGCGCACCAAAAATAAGAGCCTTTAGAAGACTTTATAAAATCTCTGCATTGTTTGTGCAGAGACACACCTGGCTATAATGTATCACCTGTAGTGTATTCTGCGTTAATACTGAAACTACTAAAGATACTGAAGACTATAAATGAACCAAGCTTTCCTCACCGATGCTGCATTGTGCCCCCCGTGGGGTAGTTAACAGCTAACAATATAAACCAGCTCGACAGTTTAATGAAATGATTAAAGACTGACATTTCACTAAATGCAAAATCTATGAAATACACTGAGCTCACAGCGAATACGCCCATTGGTATTTATTCCAAACGCTGTTTTTGTATAAACATCATATATCATAAGTTGGGCTGTCACTGCTGTGAGCAAGGGAGATGCAAAGCACAAGAATTGGGCATTTACAAGGTTAAACAGGTGCAATAATATGGACTAAAACATTAACTTCCAAGAATTTGAACCTATTCCCCTCGGAACTGATTTATCAACGTTCTCCTCAGCACAATGTTTGCCTTGGAGAATTGCGGCTGCACCAGGACCCCACTGGACCACCAGGAAATCCACCAGCAGGCCACTAGACCACCAGGTAATCCACCAGCAGCCTATTGGACCACCAGGAAATGAACTAGCAGCCCACTAGACCACCAGGGGGCGTATTATGTTCCAATTACTACAGAGGAGGTTGTTGGGGGGGGGGGGACCGGTAATAAAAAAAATAATAAAACACCACACACAAAGACTACAAGCAGACCCCACTTACAACGCAACTACTCCACACACATACACTCCCAGACACAGGCATATACTCAGGTACACAATGCCAGAGAAATAAACACTCAATCAGAAAGGCACATACACAGGTACATAAAGCCAAAGAAACAGACAAATTCAGTCAGAAATGCATACACACACTCGGGCACAAATACACAATGCCAGAGATACAAACACACTCTCAGGCACACACTCAGATACATAATGCTAGAAACACAAACACACTCTCAGGCACATACACAGATACATAATGCCAGAAACACACTCTCGGGCACATACACAGATACTTAATGCCAAAAACACAAACACACTCTCAGGCACATACACAGAATGCCAGAAACACAAACACACTCTCAGGCACATACACAGAATGCCAGAAACACCAAACACACTCTCAGGCACATACACAGATACATAATGCTAGACACACTCAGACCCTGCATACAGCTCTCAGCCTCCTGCAATACACACGCTCTCACACACCACTCACAGAAACAGAGCCCAGGGCTCTAGGAGGGGACACCACAATCTGGCACCCTCACTAGGGCACTGGGCAACCTTAATCTGTCTCTCAAGCTGCACCACTAACATGACCCCCCTGGACTCTCCCACCCTGGATCACATTCTAATGAAATGTGCTGCGCATGTCTATGATTATGATCCCACAGGGCCCTAGGCAGTTCTTATGGTTAATCCTGCTCTACAACGATCTATTTACAAAGATCTACTGTTTTAATCTGATTATTAGGGTGTCCTAGGGATTTAACCACTGTAGGAGTCCCCATCACACAGCTCATCCTATTAGAACAATAACCTCCTGCAATGGTGACTTCCAGCAGCTGTCTGTAGGGGGGTCACATTTTTATAGTGTAATTACATATTTATCCAACTGTTTAATTGCTGCCCCCTCCCTTCCTTCACCAAGTGATCCAGCTCTTAGACGCAAGTCGGCAAAAATGCAGAGTTTGAGGAATAAATGAAAACTCTAAGTGACTATGCGAATAAAAGGAAGTCAGATAATTTGCAGTCCTGTCCGCAGTTATCTGCTATGAGTAGTAGCTATTAGCGTAACTGATGGGAATTTATCAATAACGATAGCGACATCAACCCAACACAGAACTAAGTTAACTCTTTCATTACCACAGTGGAGAGCACAATATATTTCAAAGGTTTTTGTCTCATTTTTTTTTTTTTTAAATGTTTTCATTTTATTTCAAAATCATAATGGCACAATTGCTTTTTTTCTACTTTCTACATAACGCAGAATGCATTGGGCTGGTGTCTTTCCCAGGCTGGTGTGTCCCTTTAACCCCTTAAGGACACATGACACATCTGACATGTCATGATTCCCTTTTATTCCAGAAGTTTGGTCCTTAAGGGGTTAAACAGTCCCAGGTTTAACATTAGTGTAGAGCTGGCCACTCCCCCTCATTTTTCAGTGTTTATAGTGAAACGTTTGGCCTTTAACACTTGTCTTGAACCAAACTCATGTGACTTTATAAACTAAATGTATTTTCAAAGATGACTGAAAAACTGTTATTTTGTGGACACATGACAGATTAGTTAGTTTGTTAGGTAGGTAAAAGGTAGGTAGGCACGAAGTGTAGTTAAAATGCGGAAGAGAAACACGCATTACTGGGAGAAAAAAAACTGCATAAAATATCAATATACACTTGGGGGTTAATCTACTAAACAATTAAATAAAGTAAAAGTCCATTGAAACCCATATTGTGGAATTCAGGAAAACTTACTAAACTGAAATAAATCTACAGACAATCTAATTATCAGCTATTGACAATGGTTTGACAAACACCTCTTGCAGAGTCGAAATGTTGCCAGGTGCCCTAAATGGCAACTGGAAAATGTCTCCTGTGCAACATATGGAGCGGCAGAGTATTTACTGGCTATTTTCCTGTAGTTACAGTTTGGCATTTGAGCTTACATTATACAGCTGGTGTTTAGTGTTACATTGTGCGGAGTCTGGTATTACTGAAGGGGTTCATGAATTCATTCAGAATCTGCTTACCCTGGCATTAGAGCCGGAGGGATGTAGGTGGCATTGTTGTGGGTGATAAGCGTTCCTGCACTCCTGGTTGCCATCTGTCAGCTCTCGTCCTGCAATGTGATCCACACAATGTACAATAATCTGTGTCCTTCCTTAATCAGTCAGTCAATGTAGCCAGAGCAGCTACTGAGAGTGACAACAAACAAACTGTAACTAGGCAACACAACACCTAAGTTACACTAATTCCCCCTCCTCCCCCCCCGATTCACAATGGGACAATAAACTTCCTCGTGTAACACTAACTTCATAGTAAAACTCCTGCAACTATTACTGACATCATAATAAACCTCCAGTAACTATTACTGACATCATAATAAACCTGCAGTAACTATTACTGACATCATAATAAACCTCCTGCAACTATTACTGACATCATAATAAACCTCCAGTAACTATTACTGACATCATAATAAATCTCCAGTAACTATTACTGACAGCATAATAAACCTCCAGTAACCATTACTGACATCATAATAAACCTCCTGCAACTATTACTGACATCATAATAAACCTCCAGTAACTATTACTGACATCATAATAAACCTCCTGCAACTATTACTGACATCATAATAAACCTCCAGCAACCATTACTGACATCATAATAAACCTCCAGCAACCATTACTGACATCATAATAAACCTCCAGTAACTATTATGGACATCATAATAAACCTCCAGTAACTATTACTGACATCATAATAAACCTCCTGCAACTATTACTGGCATCATAATAAACCTCCAGTAACTGTTACTGACATCATAATAAACCTCCAGTAACTATTACGGACATCATAATAAACCTCCAGCAACCATTACTGACATCATAATAAACCTCCTGCAACTGACATCATAATGAATTTCCAGCAACTATTACTGCATAGTTGCCAACTGTTACGTTTTTGCCGGGACAGTCCCAGCAAGCTGGAATCTGTCCAGGGCAATTAACTCTCCCGAGACAGTCCCGGCAACTTGCAGGGCCATGTGCTTTTATTATTTTCCCCTCGGACTGTAAAAGCATCTTTGTCACGGTTCTCACCATGACATCCAGATGGCCAGGCGTGGCCGTTCCAGAGGTGCCAAATAGCAACTTTGAACTCTTGCTACCTTAGTCTTGTTGTCTTGTCTCTGAGCCACACTTCAGTTCATGTTTCTGCCTGATGTTCTTGTGTGCAGGTAGTGGATATTGTGGGGATGCGACCCATTATACCCACAAATCCGCTCCCCCCTCCTCCACCAATTAAGACCAGAAAACGTAAATGTGGTATAAACATGCCACAGCTTTATTTATAAATAACAAGTATAAATATATAAACCAATTTTAATTATCCTTTAATATGAGCATGATGTAACTCAAACTCGTCCTTGCCAACCGGACCATAACAACTCTAGAGTACCCCCTTCCAGGGGACCTGCCTTCCCCCCTCGTCCAAGATAACTGGCCTTCACCTTGGCCTCCCAATTCCCCATGCCAACCCCTGGCCACCTTTCCTGGCACGGAGGGCACGCCCAATTACCAAAAATTTTCCGAGGTTAGGGGAGGGACCAGACCCAGCATTCCTTCTTCCAGTGTACTCGGTTTCCCAACTGGTTCGGCAAGGACCATACCCGCCGGCTGTGACAAGAAAGAAAATTATTGATACGCAATAAGATTACAATCAACAACAAAGGGCGGGAGGAAGGGAAGATGTTACCAGCCGTTATTTCTAAGATGGCTGAGGTAAGGGGACAAAATGACTGCTATTTATATGACCCCACCCCACCTCTAACCTAAGTGACACCCCCACTTGTGACACCTACACCCACCACACCCACACATGCCTCCTATCCGGCTAGCTTTCAGCCAGCCTCCTCTGGGCCTTTCCTGTCTGCAGCTCTAGGGGGCTGGACTTCACCAGTGGCTCCTACCTGTGTATCAAAGTCCACCTGAGGCAGATTGATCATTATTCCAGGTATAAAACACTGCCTCTCCCTGAGGGCAGTGTCAGTTCATTGTATCCTGTTTCCTAAGACTGACTTGGCTTGTGACTCTTTCGTCTTGGATTATCCGTTATTGCCTGTTCACTGCCTGCCTTGACTTTTGGAACCGTGTCTGACTACTCTTCTGGATTTGCCCTTGCACCTTCCATACACAGCCCCCGTGCACAGATTCACAGTCCTGGTGGTTTCTAATCTTATCACTTTGGGCTGTGTATATCTGCAAGGGAGAGCACAAATCTCTGCCTCTTGGACTTCCAACTAAAGTAAGCTGTGACACTCTTACAGTCTGAGGGAAGTCAGGAGAGTGACGCTGGGGACTGTACAGAGGTGCTGGGAGCTGCATTGAGGCTGTTGGGGCAGGAGGGCGCACTGACCATCTCCCTTCCAAATTCCCAGCAGCTTCCCCGGCATCAGGCTCCTGCTCCGCCTCATGCGAGCAGTCTTCAGCCACACATGCATTTCTGCCTCGCGCCAATCTCCATCACCACCGCTACACAGCAGATCTTGTTGTAGTTGGAAGAGGCAAGGTAGGCTTGATATAGTCAGGTGAGAATCTGCTAGTGAAAGCCTGTGTGTCAGTGAGCTTGTTTGTAGTCAGCTTGTGTGTGTGCTTAAGTGCCCAGGCCGACAAAGAAGATCTGCCTTCTTGCTGTTAGCCCTCTTCGGCCGGTAAGGCCCTTCGTTAGACAGGGAGAACTGGAGGACCTGGGAGGGAGTGTGCTCCTCCTGCGAGCATGCTGTGCAGAGCATTGCCACGTGTTACCATGGCAATGTGCCGACACAGCATTCTGCACGCAGGAGGAGTGAAGACAGCCTGCAGCCAGAGGAGCTGCAGACTATAGACAACTCACCACCATGGCACAGCACCTCTGACACACATACACTGCACCCCTCACACACACAGAGGGAGAGAAGAGATCTGGTAGTAGTATCTACAGATGTGATGCCACTTCCTGTCTCTCATCAAAGAAATTCCAGTGGAAGTGTGCAGAGGGTGCAGAGGGTGCATGATGACAACCTATCACATCAGCATACTTGCTCTCCCTGCACAGTGCTCAGCATGGGAAAACAGAAAGACATCACATCCCCAGCTGTCACCACCAGATCTCCTCTCTCTCCCCCTGCACAGTGTGAGGATGGGAGGCAGGAAGTGACATCACATCTCCACCAGATCTCCTCTCTGTCCCTGCACAGTGTGAGGATGGGAGGCAGGAAGTGACATCACATCTCCACCAGATCTCCTCTCTGTCCCTGCACAGTGTGAGGATGGGAGGCAGGAAGTGACATCACATCCCCACCAGATCTCCTCTCTGCCCCTGCACAGTGTGAGGATGGGAGGCAGGAAGTGACATCACATCCCCACCAGATCTCCTCTCTGTCCCTGCACAGTGTGAGGATGGGAGGCAGGAAGTGACATCACATCTCCACCAGATCTCCTCTCTCTCTCCCTGCACAGTGTGAGGATGGGAGGCAGGAAGTGACATCACATCCCCACCAGATCTCCTCTCTCTCCCTGCACAGTGTGAGGATGGGAGGCAGGAAGTGACATCATATCCCCAGTTGTCCTCCCACTCTCAGCATGTGACTGGATAGCCCCCCAGGTGCTGGTTCAGGAAGATGGAGGGAGGAAAAACATCAAACTGGTGCAGGCTAGGGGTGAAAAGAGCAGAGATCAATATGTGGGATGAAGGGGCGAGACAGGGTGGAGGCACACAGGGCTTTTCTTTTAGAGACATTGGGGTAGATGGGGGAGACAAATAAATGGGGTGTGTTAAACAGTTGAGTGAAATGGAAGCCACATGAGGGCAGTTTGGGAAGACGTGTGGGGTGAAGCAGAGAAACAGCTGAGTGGTGGGTGAGGGGGGCAGAAATTGGTCAGATGGGTGACAAGTGCTGTTTGAGAAAACAAGGGGCTGGCTGCACTCACATAAACATGCACAAATAGGGTGCTGCTGGGAGCCAATAACATCCAGCGCAATCCCTTATCTACTAAACAGCTGACAGATTTTGTTAAATTTTTTTAAAACACCCAATCTAGGCAAAAATAATGGGGGTTTAGTTACAGTATATGATCATACATTGCATAAATCTGCCACAACGTCAATGTACCCCATCTTTGGCAGGTCCTACTCTAACAACCAACTGTCTACTAAATGAGCTACTCACTTGGGGAAATCCTTCCATCTCTAGTTTTCTCTGCAGTACAAGGCTAAATAGGGCCCTGGGATGAGACCCCTGTGACAGGGAGGGGTGCAACACCAAGGAGTTGGCTAGACATATATATATATATATATATATATATATTCCTTGTACTCAGGCTATGAGTATAAATACTTGCCGGGTGCTTAGCCTGGGACTTTAATATCCAGAGAGTAGTAGTAATGGCAGCACTCACGGTCTCCAATAAAATTCTTCTTTATTTGGCAAGGTTAAAATATGTGATCAACGTTTCAGTCCCCACATGGGACTTTCATCAGGATCAATACAGTACATAAAGTGAAATTCACAATACATAGGACACACAATTAGGAAAAAACAATTAAGGAAATAAACTCACCCCAGATGACTTGCATGACAGGCGGCGGCTAGCCGAGCTCTTTGCGCATGTCAGACCAAAGTACCACCTCCGGATGTGACGTGCACGTTGTGCTTACGGTAACCATGGTTACGGTTGGTGCTGTGTATACCTAACAGCAGTGAGTGATATGCGCATGTGTAGCCCATCCTTACTGTCCTTAGTGATGTACGTATTATTGGCGATTGTTGTCATGGCACTAGTGCCGTGGCAACCTAACGCTTCATACTGAATGTCAACAGTAATCTCAAGGGCTAAACCAAAGTGCCTTGCTGGTGGTGTAATGAATATTTTGAGCTCATAATTAACCATTAAGGTTAATGAAAAAAATTGAATAGCGATCATATAAAAACAAAGGAGTGTAGTTTAAATGGATGAATTTAAAGTGACATTGTGCATAACTTCATAATTTAAAGTAGAACAAATGGTGCAGTGTAGAGAAAGGAGATTGTACCTAATGTTTCAAAAGTGTTCAGATATTTGATTATAAAATACTCTACTGAATAAGGAAATGGAGAAAGGAAAAGGACTGCCTTAGTCCAAATGTGATGAAAGTGTATTGATTCCAAAGTGCTAAGTTTA